AACAATAACTGAAATGATCTCTTGTCTAATATAGCAAATCATTTAAGGGACAGCTCTTGAAAGATGACATGAAACTGATTATTTGCAGTTGCAAAAGGGTACTGAAATGAAAATATGAGTGAAATGACATTTCACTTAAAAATATGCTTGACTCTCAGTATAGAGAAAGAGGAATGTGAAATGAATGGAATAAAATTTGGCCTAGTTCAATGTATAGAGGACCAAATATGTTGTAATTAATTGCAAGAGAACAATTTGGGAATGTTAAAACCCTGATCTAAATCTGAAATAATAGTTCAAATAATACCCTTAATAACTTCTATTATTGTTTATTTTTATTATTGTTTATGCTTTGATATTGCTATGGTAACCTAGAGGGTTCATTCTCTCCTTTACAGAAGGTGAAGAGACTGGAGTGATGGATAGCCTGTTGGAGGCCTTGCAATCAGGTGCAGCTTTTCGAGACCGAAGGAAAAGGGCACCAAGGTCTAAAGGTGAATATTCTATTTTACGTTTTGTTTTCTAGATAAAATTTTTATGGGTCTCGTGCTCTAGAACATAAATGCTATCGGGTTTAATTCTTTCTTGAAATGACAGCTTTCAGGAATGTTCAGGCTGTTTTACTTTGGAGATTAATTTACTGAACTTCTCATAGCCTGATTATTATAACAAGACTCTTCGATACAGCCACGTGTACTTTAGCTTTTTAGGGTTTATAGTTGAATGGGGGAAATAAAAGTCATCTTGCCCCATAAGTGAATCAGATTATTTCACTGGTATATAACAGCCAGTTTAGTCCTAGAAATATCTAACTTCTAAATAATTCTGCTTAGTAATATTCTTACAATACTCCAGTAACTTTCAAAGATGTGTTTTATTTCCATTGTTTCCTTGCTTTTGCAGACATACCACAAAACCTCAGTCCAACCATGCAGCGGCCTGTGCTGAAAGCTTGTAACCATGGTAATGAACCATATTCATGAATTGCATGCTCTTCTTAGCTTATGTAGTTGATCTGTGCTTTCAAAAGACTGCTGTGATTTTTTCAGTTTTCTACATTAGCAGAATACTGAAACCGTATTAGAACCTGCTTTTTAAGAATCACCTGAATATTACATCCTGAAACTATACTTATTGATTACTTTGCAAAGCACTTCTATCTTTTGTGGGGTTTTCATTTTCATTTATTTAAAATTTGGTTATGTTTTTAAATGTAGTACTTTTACAATCCTTAAGAACAATTATGCAAGAATTTTTAATGGTTTATGAAACTATAATAGAAAGCAGAGGTTGTGGAACATTTTAAATGTTACTACATGGTTATGATACTGAATCAGAGAACTTTGCAGATTCGTTCTGTTTTTCTTTATCTTGGTTTTCTTGATACTATAGCTGGAATGGTTTAAGCTATCATTTACCAGTATAAATCAAAAGTTATGTTGTATCAGCAAATTGATAGTAAATTAATCGGTTACGTCATGGAAAATATTTCTCCAGATTTTAAGCATGAGTCTTGAACTATCTCACCATAGTCAGTAGGACTTGCTCATATGTGAAAAGTCACAACGACGGCGTTGTGGTGCTTTTTAGCTTTATTTGTTAGGCAATCTATAGAATATTATTATATTAGCTGTGTTTTAATTAAGCTTGAGAAGTCCAGAGTGACTGTTTTCAGTGGCTCGTAACTAGTCGTCTCAGGAAAAAGTTTATATATGTAGTACCTCCGGTGAAGAAAAATTTTCACTGAAACTTAAGGAAAGAAAATAGCTCCTTTCTTAGTTTTGCAAGCAGAGCTCATTAGCCGTCGGTGTTTAAATGCACCATGGAGTTTATAAAGCAGATGCCATCAAGTAGATTATATTAATTATATTTTATGTTTAAGTGTTTATTTCTTAAGTGCCTGTAGCAAAAAAAAAAAAAAAGAATGTGCAGAATTTGGCATTATTAAACACAATTTTAAAGAAAACAGAACTGGACGGACAGTTTAAAGGTAATTAATTCCCTTACAGGAATTGTCTGAAAGAAGAATCGAGTATATTTGACAGGTGTTCGTCTAGCACATAACATTGATATTTGAATAATGATTAGAAAGGACAATGAATTTATCCTATGTTTGTGCTTGTAAGAAAAATTATGTTGACTATTGCTTCTTTTCAACCCATTCTAGCTAGCTAGCTAGCTGTCTATGGACAGATAGTGTAGTTTCCAGTTTTCAAACTAACTGCATTTGGACAAACATTAGGGCCATGTCTTATGTTGCAGGATAAAAACAAAACACAAAAAAAAAAACAAACCAAAAACCCCAGGATTTTTAATTCTGCAAAATCTTGATCTAACCTGGGGACTGATTTGTGCATCTGATGGATATAATTTGATACTGAAGTTTGAAGTTCAGACATTTGATTTGGAGAGAAGAGTAAAAGTAAACTCTTGGATTTTTTGTTGTTTTTACCAAAGTCGGTTTTTCCATAGCACATTTTGAGACAATCTGATTCTAAGACATTTTAAAATGAATTCAGCTTTTATTTCACCTGTCTTGTTAGCTCAGAAACAGGATAATAAAACTCCAAGCTTGCTTTTAAGGAATTCATTAGTATGATTTTGATTTGTTGACACTTGTCACAATATCTACATATTACATTTTCCTATCTTGAGCCAAACAGAGCACTAAGCTTGATGTAGACTATGGTGAGTTCACTTATCAAAGAATTTTTGGCTTTCTGATAGAAATATATGGTCATTGGTTGCTTCAGGTTCATCTTTGAGGTGAACTTTTTTTTTTTTGCTATTCAAAGCCTATGTAGGCAAGTTGTGAATTTGCTTTTAATAATTTATTTTGTTATTGGGAAAGCAGAAATTAGGTTACATACTATACTAGACCCTAAGTATCAAAGTTTATTTTTAGATAGTAATAATCTCATTGATCTTAATGATGAGGCCAGTCAAAGCAAGAATTATAATGATAAAATTTCTTTAATTTTCTGTTTCTGAGTTCAGCAATGTATAATGTCAGGTTTTTTTTAGTTTTATCCTCTATATAATTTTTTTCTTTCACTTTATATCTAATATGGATACATATGCAATAACCTACTCTTTCTAAGTATATGTGTATAATAAGTGATGACTACTGTATATAATGGTTTATTACATATACATTGTATAAGCAAGAAGTCTGTGATTTCAGCCCACTTCAGAAAAATTGGGATATGACGGAAGTATTGGCTTGGTCTTTCATTGATGTACTCTTTCTTCCAACCTAAAATTTCAAATGTTTGCTAAATTTTGTATTATGGCACAAAAGCCACTGGCTTACTATAAGCTTAAAATATGTGGGGACTGATAAAGTCCTCAAGCAGCGATTCAAACACTTTGTTTGCTTGCTTCTGTGCTGATTTTGGCTGTTTGGGTTAACTGGTTTGGTTGCTGCTGCTTCTGATGAGACTAACAGATTCACTTATAGGAGATATACTTTATTAATACACACTGCAGATTCCTACCTAGGATGAACTTCTTTGACTCATCATGCAGTCAAAAAGAATTACAAGCCGTGACTTTAAATGTCTGTCCTCTGAATCATTCAGAGTGTTGGGCCGATACCATCAAGTTCTAGCTAATCTCTTGTTTCCAAACAAAACAAAAACAAGCAAATGAATAAAAACCAGTTTAGTCTTTATGATTAAAGATATTTCTCTCAAAAAGCGGAATACAAATCCAACCCAAGCGTAGATGGAAATGAAAGAGTAGTGGCTCCACGTCTCGCAGGGGCTGGCAAGGGAGAGAAATAGAGCTAGACTGCACACGCTTTCTCCATAGCGGTAATGTAAAGAGAAGCAGGAAGGAAATCTCTCTAACCATTGCCATTGTCATCCTCGGTACGATACTGCTCAAGGTACCAAACTATCACTTGCTCATGAGGCTGAGCTGAGCCCTATAAAACAACGGAATACAGAGGAGCAAGCCAATGCTACTTAGTTCTAGAACTGACAACTGAAATTGTTTCCTTTAACTAAATGGACTGCTTAAGAAAGAAAAGGAAGAATAGTACATTTGGTGGAATGCTAGCTATTGGTTGGCCGTTTCTCTCTTCATGATCTGTTAAGCTCCCCAGAAAGCTCTGGCCGTGTTCAGCTGATTAAAAAGGAGTACAGGTTCTCATGCTGCATCCCAGGGTAGCCTCTTGGGTGTGTTATTTTATTTTCAGTCCTACTGCACTCTTCTTTTATTGAACAGATTGCCTCTTTCTAACATGGTATGGTGGGTTTTGTCAAGTTTAAATCTGCTCTATTTTTGTGATCAGAATTGCCAATTGTATTTTTTCTGCTTGTGACAAGGCCCATCAAGTCAGATAATTTCTTGCTGAGGAAAAGCTCTGCTGCATAACTAATAGAAATAATATACATTCGGAATTGCTAGATCTTGGAAATATTCTAATACCTTAAGAATACAAATCATTTTCACTGGATTTTTGTTGACGTAGGTATGATTGGTATATTTATTTCCTTTGTTTCCATTCATAGTGCTTTGTATTTTTTTAATTAACAACTGAATTACATATGTGTTCAAAATTATGCATTAATGTTAGTTTGCTTTAACTGCAGAGAGCCTTACAGTAAATATTGTGGTATATGCTTTTGCTGTCACACGGAGCACTGTATGACACAAGTAGAGTATTAGTACAGTTTTAGTGTTGTACTTCAGTAAGGTTTTGATTCAGTAGCATCTAACAGGGGAGCTTTTTTATTTTATTTATGGAGCAGAAGAAAGCACTTAATTTTCAATGATCAGGATTTTGCACATTAGAAGATCATTTCAAGCAGCTAATAGCTATGGCTGATCTGAGTTTATCAGTTATTTACAACAACAGTCAAGGCATATTTGCAGCTTGCACATTTATTTCAAGCTAGTTAAGTTCAAATACACACAGCAGCATATCCAAGGCAGCACAGAGCCCACTGCAGCACAGAAAGCTGCATTATTCACTAAGTTTTCGGTCAGGCTTTGCAGCCTGCATCAAGTTCTCTGCTGCTATGGCTACGCATTTATGTGCAGTAACATTAGCCAAGGTAATGTTATCTGAAATGCATGAGTACAAATTTGAGATGCAGCTTTGATTGCAAGTTTATATACCTCAAATGCAGCAGAAATTGGTTTTCTTTACAAGTAGATTATATTCAAAATGTGTGAGTAAAGAAAAGCTATAATAAAATGGAAGTAAAAAAATACAGATTGCTTTTTCTGACTGCAAAGATTGAAAGAAATCTTTCTGTTTGCAATCAGTAATTGTGTTGTGGACTATACCACCAAAGGTAACAATAAGGTCTTGTTTCTATATTCAAATCAAACTCCCATGGTAAGAGATAGTCTTAATTGCTATTGCTGTTTGTTCGGTGAATTTGTAAACAATAGAATAATTTTCATGTCACGTTTAGCCTGAAGCATTTTAAACACCTCTGTTAAATAAAATCCTTGTCAAGCAATGTCATTCTGGTCCCAATTAAGCAGAAGAAAACCCTTTTCTCATGTTTTTTGGGTTTTCATCTCTTATTCGTAATAGAACTGTCATCTGAGGTTCATATTAGTGTCTCTGCTACCTTATTTTTGACAATCATAGCTGACAATGAGCTCAGGCTCATCTTAATTCTTGAAACAGACAGTGTAACCACTTAGAGGTCACTATTTTATTTCATCATTGCTATATATGACAGCAAACTATGATTGACATTTCAACTGAATTTTTCCTTTTTTTTTTTGAACTCTGTGTATGTTGCTGTCTTTTCCACAGCTGTTTGTGTAGAACATTAGGAAATAGCTAACAATGGAGAAATAATGAAAGCTGTGAAGTTGATAACTTTTTACCCAGTACGTGTTAGTAGTAAAGATGCATTCTTGAGCACTACCACTTCTTCATGGTAGATACTGTTTTGTAGGCACCATCCATGTTAGCCTGTTCTTTCTGTAGGTGA